AGATCTCCCTGACGCTGGTCACCGAGATCCAGGCCGTGGACAGGAAGGTGGACACCCAGGCCGCGCAGCTGATGAACCTGGAGGGCAGGATGAGGATGGCCGAGACGAAGCTGATCGGCTGCGAGAAAACGGCGGTGGAGTTCGGGAACCAGCTGGAGAGCAAGTGGACGGCGCTGGGCACCCTCATCCAGGAGTACGGGCAGCTGCAGAAGCGGCTGGAGAACATGGAGAACCTGCTGAAGAACAGGAATTTCTGGATCCTGCGGCTGCCCCCGGGGGCAAAAGGGGAAGTCCCCAAGGTAACGGTTTGGGTTTGCTGCTCCCCGCTGCAAAACGGGGCTGTTCTGCACGTCTGCTGGGCTCAGAACCCCGTGCCCTGTGCTCACAGCCGCATGTCCTGAGCTCACAGCCCCATATCCTGAGCTCACAACCCCGTGCCTTGTACAGCCCCGTTTCCTGTACACTCACAGCCCCATCTCCAGTGCACTGTCCATATCCTGCACTGTCTCCATATCCTGCACTGCCCCATCTCCATATCCTGCACTGTCAGCCCCATCTCCTGTGCAGTCACCACCCCATATCCTGCACTGTCTGCCCCATATCCTGTGCACTCACAGCCCCATATTCTGCATTGACAGCCCCATCTCCTGTGCACTCACAGCCCCATCTCCTGTGCACTCACAGCCCCATACTCTGCATTGACAGCCCTAAATTTTGCATTGACAGCCCCATATCCTGTGCACTCACAGCCTGCTCCCTGCACTGTCAGCCCCATCTCCCGCAGTGACAGCCTGATCCCTGCACTCACAGTCCCATTTTGGGACAGCTGCAGTGCTGAGAGCTGTTCATGGCTCCCCCAGAGCCTTGTCCTCCCTTCAGTACCCAGAAACACCAGCACAGGTCCTGCTCTTGCGCGTGTGATCTGGGAGGGATGTCACAAATTCCTGTGTTTGGATCACGTGGAATTTTGTGGCTCAGCCCTGTGTAACTGGGAAGGCTTGGGAACATCCCCAGGGGCTGTTCAGAGGTGATGAGCAGCAGAATTGTGTCAAAAAGGAAGTGAAAAGGAGTCTGTGCCAGGCCCTGTGCACGGGGCAGTGACAGGAGGAGGCTGAGCAGGAGGAGGCTGAGCAGGGGGAGGTGACAGGGGAAATCCCTGTTGTGTCCCTTGAGGCATGAGGGACGTGGGAAGGAGCAGATGTTCCTGTCTGCACGACACTTGAGGAGTTTGAGCGACACTTGAGGAGTTTGAGCGAGAAAATTGAGTGAGAAAACATCCCCAGGTGTTTTCTTAAATGAAAAACAAACCCTGTGGTGGTGCTGCTCCTTGCAGGTCCCCGTGGCCTTCAACGACGCCTCGTTTAACTTCTCTGAGGAGGAGTGGAAGAGCCTCAACGAGTGGCAGAAGGAGCTCTACAGGCACATCATGAAAGGCAACTACGAGGCCGTCATCTCCATGGGTAATGACAGGCCTGGCTTGGCCCTCAGCCTCCTGGCACTGAGTTTTCCTGGGAGCTGGTGGATGGAACCTGTGTCCTGCAGGGTCAGGGAGGGGTGCTGTGCTCTGGGGAGGTGTCACACAGCCCTGGCTGTGAGTTCAGCCCTCACAGCCACGCCGAGGGTGGAAGGATGTCATGAGTGTCACCGCAGGGACGGTGGCTCCCTGATGGTCCCCGCAGCCTGTGAGTGCTGGGATTGTGAGGAGGAGGAGGAGGGCAAGTGAGAGGAGCCTCAATCCAAGGAAAGCTGGGGAAGAGGGAAGTTCCTTTGTCACGCCAAGGTCCACAGATCCACTGCGCTGGGTGCATCAGCCCGCTGGCTGCTTAGGGCAGCAGAGGGTGCCCTGTGCCCTGTGCCCTGCCCCTGAGGTTCCTTCCAGCCCTTCTTTCCGTGGGGAGTTGTGCACACTTCCCTTTCCTCTCCCTTGAGGGAGAAGTGACGTTTGCCGGGTGCTCTGTCCAGCCCCAGGGAGCCAGTCCTGCTCGCGGTGCTGCGGGCTTTGCTGGGGCAGAGGTGGGAGGAGCAGTGGCTGGGGGTGAGCTCTGCCTCCTGCTTTCTCCTCAGCAGCTCAGGGCAGTGCATTCCCAGCCAAAGGAACGCGCTCCGCTCGCTCCTGCCAGTCCTGGCTGCGGGAATTCCCTCTGGGAACGCCTTCCCTTCACAGCACGTTCCAGAAATGACCTTGCCTTGGCTGGACCGGGCCTGGGAGCACAGACACTGTCCCTGGTAGCCAGACACTTCCCTGTGCTGAGCCCAGGCTCATCTACCTCCCTGCCATCCAGCTCTGCCCAATCCAGGCCTTTTCTGCTTTTTTCTCCCCGTATATTTCTTTGAACAGAAGTTTCCTTCAGTCCCTGTGTGCCAGGGAGAAAGGGGAAGGGTAACCACAGCCCCCAGTCTCCTGTCTCCAAACCAGACCCCTGTCCTGCTCCTGAGGCTCAGGGGATCTGGGGATCTGAGCCTGGAGCTTGGAGCACCTTTCTGTGCTTCATCCCAAGGTTTCCCTTGAGAAATGAGGTTTAGGGCTTTGGCTCCCGTGTAAGGCAAACGGATCCACCGCAGCAGAGGTGGAGATTACCCCCAGGGCCTCCCTCCCTCCCACATGTCTGGAAGTGAAGTTTTCTGCTCTCCGCCCCAGGAGAGATGGTGATTGTCCCCTTTCCCCCACCAAAATCCGCGAGCAGCCCGGGACTCGGACGAGTAGGACGGAGCGGTCCTGGCTGGAGGGAACCGCACGGGGAGGGCAGTGCTGGCAGCTCTGCTGCTGCCCCCGAGCTGACGCCCCCATTGTAATGGATCCGCGGACCTTAGCGCAGAGGAGGAGACAGGAGAGCCTGCAGGTAAGCCTGGCTGCCTTTCCTTCCTGTCCTCCTCACGCTGCAGGCTGGGAGGCGCTGCTCACCTGAGCAGAGTGTGCTCCTGCATCCAGGGCCACGCGAGGTGAGCGGGGCAGAGGGCTGAGAGCAGCTTCCCAAGCCTCTCTCGTTCGTTCCCCAGAGAAGGAAGGTTGGTGGGCAAAGGCTGCAGAGTCTCTCTCCCGCCAGGGCAGGGGAAACATCCTCATCCTCTTTTCATGTGCAGACGCTGCCATTTCCAAGCCTGACCTGCTGACACGGATTGAGCAGGGGGAGGATCCCAACGCGGAGGATCAGGAGGACTCTGAGGGAGGAGAGACCCCCACAGACCCCACCACCGGTGAGCCACAAGGTTCCTGGCACTCAGGGGGGACGTGGAGGCAGATGTGGGGCTGTTCTGTTTTGTCAGCTCTCTCCTCAGGTGCAAGGGGGGCTTTGCTTTCCTGCTTGTCTCGCACCTGATGCATCCATCTCTCCTGGAATCCTCTAAAGCAGCTGGGAGGTTGGAGTGTAACTCCTGCTCTTTCCTCTTGCACAGAGTTTTTCTTCCCTGGGCCCGATGACAGCTCGTGGGGTAAATATGAAGAGACTCTGGCTGAAAGCCACGAAGGCTCTGAGGAAGAGGAGAGCATGGAGGTCCCTGGTACATGTGAGTGCACTGAGCTGCTTTGGGAAGTGTCCCTTGCCTAGATGTGCTTTTGGCCTCCCAGCCTGGTTCCCAGGAGCAGCTCAGCTTTTCTGGATGATGCTTTTTCAGAAAGTTGCTTTGAGTCACAGTTTATACCATGGGAGATCCTTCACCTTCAGGCACTGTCCAAGACCATGAAAGAAAAGAAGTTTTATTCCCTTTTCCTCTGTTTTCTGGGCTTATCCTAAAGCACAAGTTCTTAAAGACCTGTCCTGCTTCAGGAACCCTCTTTTTTGCTCTGGCTACCTATCTATAGCTAGATTATATATATAATATTATATTACAATATAATTGAAGGCAGGAAGTTGCTGGAGTGTGTCCAGAGAAGGAAG